TCCGACATGAAAACAATAAACAAAAACTAAAAATCCTTGAAGCAATATACATCAAACAGTTGAAACCTAACCTAAATAAAATCAACTATGGAATCTCTACAAATATCCTTAAATGTCTATAATTGGTAACAGAAGCCACTGGTTTATACCAACGGCTTCCCATACTTAATACTTCTTGAATTCACTCTCGCGTGGTCATGTGTGACGTCATGAGCTGCGGTGCGATTTTCGCTTCCAGCGTCTTATATGCACGTGTTTATCGTTGGTTGGAAATCATCCATGTAAACAGAAACAGACTATCATTACTATCTTGTCCGTATATTGCTTAATATATTGTACATTAATTGTCATCTTTGATAATGGCTTATGTAAGCCGAAATTAAATACTATGGATCAATATTGTGATTTTCTTTCTTCGTTTAATGATAATGTTATTAAGCTTATCAGACGTTATGTATATGTGTGTGTGGTGTGTATACTTGTACGTGTGTTTGTGTGTGTGTGAGTATATATATATATATATATATATATATATATATATATAGCATAATGAGAAGCCACGTATATTTTCTTAATATGTATATATAGAAAAAGTTGCAAATTAAAAAAAAATAATAATGTTTTTTATGAAAGTATTTATTTATTTATATATATATTTGATATTTCAGATTGACCTCAATCTTTCTTAAGAAAGATTGAGGTCAGTCTGAAATATCAAATATATATATAAATAAATAAATATTTTCATTAAAAAAAACATTATTTTTTTTTAATTTGCAACTTTTTCTATATACATATATATATATATATATATATATATATATATATATATATATATATATATAGCACATAAATGTTAATGGTCAGGGTTGAATCAGACCAGGAATCAGTGGTATTAAAAAGTGCTGAAAAACGGAAGGAAAAAAAAGAAAAGAAAAGAAAAGAAAAGAAAAAATAACATGTAGAGCTTTATACTTCAAAAATCATCGTGCGTTTGTTTATTTTTAAAAATAATATACCGTTCACTAGTTTTTTTGTTGTTTTTTAATATTAAAGCGTTAAGAGGTCATTTGATAAAAATCCCCTGAGGATACAATGAGGTCGAAAGTAAGAATTATATGCAAATACATTTACTAAATTGAATTTCTTATTAAATACATTTCACTAAATTTAAATTTTACTAAATACATTTAGTAAATGTATTTGCAATGATAAGTCCAGTGATAAAATTCTTTCCTATGGACAAAATGATCATCTGTATGAGGTAAAATATTTGGATCTCATTAATCTTAATTATATGCTTTATAATAAAAATTATATTGAGCTCGCTATTGTGAATCACTTTTACTATTTTATATTAATAGGATCTACTTGGATTACTTACCACGGATTATTTTATATATATATATATATATATATATATATATATATATATATATATATATAGGTGACACAAAAACATAGTCAGGCTGAAAATTTATAAACATTTAATATATTTAATTTAAACCATTACTCTTAGTAAGTCAATAAACAAATATTAATATTTCTTAATTGTAGCCATTAATCTTTGCATTTAAATAAATAAACACTAGACATTTTGTCATTTAAATTGTGAGTAAAATCTTTTGGGACAACCTTTATATATATATACACACTTACTTTCGAAACGGCTTTTTCGTTTGTCATAAATCTTGCGAGAGTAATATTTGAAGCATTTTTCTGTTCTTTTTGCCTTTGTTGTTTTTTGTATCGACCTCTTTCCTTTCTGTCGGCGTGATCATTTTGTTATCTCGTCTAGGATAATTCAGAAAACAATTTGCTATCGAAAATAGAAAGACGACCACAGGGAATTATCAATAAAAATAGGAAAGTCACATTTTTTTTTTATCTTCCGTTGCAAATTAATAAAAAGGAAAGAAACGTCAAAATATAATGTTTCTTTGTCTCTTATGTAATTCTGAATTTTGAATGAGTTGCTGTCTTTCTTTGAATCCCCACTACATGTTCTGCTAGGCCCGGTTTATTTGATTCACTTCGACACATACAGGAAACTGTAGCGATCAAAAGTAGAACGTGACCTGGAAGTAAGGTGAAATTATCAACGGAACTAAAGGATTAATTTTCTTTTACTTTGATGTGCGTTGCTGTTTCTGGAGGGGGGAGGAAGAAAAAAATTATGTTGATTGTGTTTGAAGGTAGAAATCAAAAGGGAAGGATTAGGCTGACTTTACGTCTAAATTGGATTATCTTGTTGGGGCTGAAGCATGAAAGATTAGATTTTTTTTCTTTTGGGAGAATTATTCTGATCTATGATTCTATTCACCCCGCAACTATGTCTAAGTTGTGTTTTTTTTTTCTTTTACGCTACCTTGTTTGAGATATTAAATTTGTTCGTTTTTTTTTTCGCGATTTTAAATCATGTGACATTTTATGTCTTTTTTATCCTCATGTTACAGAAATCGCAAATAAATCACGTACAAAGTCACCATCAAAAACTTTTACTAGTTCTTCTTCTTCTTCTTCTTCTTCTTATTATTATTATTATTATTATTATTATTATTATTATTATTATTTTATTTCCTTTGATTTCTGGTGTGTACACATTTCTTCCCGAGTCCCATCCAGAGACCTAAGGTCAGAAATGGCGTCATGACTTGTTCCACTGACCAATTAAAAATAAAACACATATTTTACAAAGATGAAGCCCTTCGTAAGGTGTGGGTGCTATTCGTGAGAGCAAATCTTTGTATTTCTTTAAGTCAGGGGCTTCCAGGAATCCCTTTAACGAGTCTACTAGAATCTTTTCCAACCAATCCAAGGGCTCCAGCTATACCATAGTTTGTTGATGTACCCATGTACCACATTTCATTATTATTATTATTATTATTATTATTATTATTGTGTGAGGGACTAGTAACAAGACAAAGTGTCACTGGAGTACAAATATACGAAGAAATATATATCCATCATGGCATCTAGGCTCATATGGATATATCAAGTACATGCATCACAGCCTAATGTGCGCAAAATGGAAACTATGCAGGTGGAGCCCAGTAGAAAATACGGTCTGGTCTGGTAACAATGTTCGATTAAACAGTCTCCGATTGAGGGTGTTCTCAACTACCTCGGTGTAACTCCTAAGTTGCCTAGCCTGTCTTATCATACAAACTAAAAAAAAAAAATCTCAACACCTGTCCATGATGATATCACTCTGCTCCCACTCATGAGCAGATATCCACAGGGAATAGCCTCCTAGTGATATCCTCACATTCTTAAGGTCAAGCAACTGACAAGCCACACTGAGGTACTGAACGGAATATTTACTGTAATGTAATTCACCAAGTCAAAATTTGTCATTTTAACACGTCAATTAAATTAATATTAAATGCTATTATTATTATTATTATTATTATTATTATTATTATTATTATTATTCGCTTTGATTTCTGTTGTTTACACATTTCATACCTGATCCCAACCAGAGACTTAATGGCAGAAATGTTTCATGACATTTTTCAATGATCCTTTTTGAAAAAACAAAACAAAAACAAAGATCACACATATAGATAAAGCTCTTCGTAACGCGTTAGCTGTACTTGGGAGTACAATTTTGTGTATTTCTTTAAGGTATGGGCTACCAAAAAACCCTTCATCGAGTCTATCGGGACCTTTACCAATCAATCCGAGTGATCCAACTACAACTGGGATTAATGATGTGTTCATGTGCTATATTTTTGAGATTTCCACTTCAAAATCCTTGTATTTTGATATATATTTTTAAGATACTGAAAGGTATATTACTATCTTGCAAGGACTGACCTGTCAATAACAAAGTCCATTTTGTTTTTGTTCTTTGATCACGATATCTGGGCGATTAGATTTGATTGTTCCTAGGGCTTCAACTACAACAGGGATTGTTGATGTTCCCATATGCCACATTTTCGAGATTTCTATTTCAAGGTCCTTGTACTTTGACAACTTTTTGAATATTTTCAAAGATACATTGCAGTCAGCAGGGACTGCCATATCAATAAGGAGGCACTTTTTTGTTTGTGGTCTTTAATAACAATGTCTGGGCGGTTGGCTTTGATTGTTCCGTCAGTGTGTATTGTGTAGTCCCATAGAATTGTAACAGGTCCTATCTCCGTAACCGGGTCTGGGTGGTGTTCATACCAGTTTCTCTCAGTTTCCTTCCCGTAGAAGTTGCAGATTTTCCAGTGCAGATATTGGCCCACTCTGTCATGTCGGGTTTTATATTCAGTGGGTGCCAACACCGTACAACCTGATACAAGATGATCAATCGTTTCTGGATATTTATCACAGAATCTGCATTTTAGGCTGACATTATTATTATTATTATTATTATTATTATTATTATTATTATTATTCACAGCATATGGTGTTGGTTCCTGGTAAAAAAAAAAGTTTATTTTCTGATCACAACTCGTGATTTTGGACAATAAGCAGAACATTTGATTCTATTTCACGAAGAAGTTGCATCCAATTTCCGGAATATCCTCGCTGCTCCGATCAGGCAATCTCTATTTCCAAATAACACTCAATATCTGCAAGATTTTTCCCATGATTTTTGTACAGCACTTTAGTTGTCGAATTGTAACTGGTAACTGTAATAACTTGTTTTTTGCTATTCTTTCCCAAAACATTCATATCATCCTTGAATTCATTGTCGTTGTCAATCATCTCCTTTTCTTTGTGCTCGATTCTCGTGTGAGATGGACAGGAGACTACTGTCAGATAGCAATTCTGGATTATTTTGATAAACTTCCAGCGAGAGATGTGCATTGTAGTGTATCTTGATGCGATGGAACAGTTTTTGTTTGGGGGCGGAGAATGTCTAGAAACGGGACAAGAGGTGGAATCTTTAGCTCGATTTCTTCTCTATCGTATTCTTATCCCACGTCACGCGAGAAACTTTATATGACATGCTTTAATTCATTGAATATGTCATGGGCGAGTGGGTTAAAACTAAGATGATTTTGATGGTTCGCAGTCCTTCCTCTTTGTAAACTCAAATTTAAATAGTTTCTAATAACAAACATTTTCAACGTTTTCTTAACTTTTAAAATTTTCTGGTGTATCATAATTCTAAACTTAATGATTTACGCACAGATACCCGTACGAAATATATGTAGCTATTTCGTCCCCCAGCTATGGATTAAATAGTAGGACTTGTATCTGGAAGAATCATTGTTATTTCCGAAAGAAATTTTAATGAAATATTTACTCGCACATAGTGTTTCTCTTAAAATCTAAGAAAATTTTCGGCTTTAAATTAACCTACAGACATTTGATAAACCGTTTTAAAAACAAACAAACCACTCAATAATTATTACTATTATTTTATTAATGATATATTACGTCAGATTTTAGATAAAAGTCCAATAATCTCATAGTTATCAAAACAATCTCCTCCTCTTTCTGTTTCTTTCTTTCTTTCTTTCCTTCTTTCCTTCTTTCTCTTTCTCTCTCTCTCTCTCTTTCTTTCTTTCTTTAATCTTTCTTTCTCCTTATTCTCATATATGTTTTCTCTTTCGCCCTTAGTCGCAATAAACAGACGAAATGGTCCATTAAGGTGTGAGGGTGTGTCTGTGCAGAAAGGAACCAATAGAATTCTAAAAAAAAGTTCGTTCCATACAGAAAAAAATGTCTTTCTACAATTTACGTATCTATATGTAAATTAGAAACAATTTTAATTTAGAATTCAACTTGGCATTTCTATTTGGCAATTCTGACGTCTCAGACGCAGACAATTTTTCAAATCTTCAGATACCATGCCTTATCCACCAGCTATCCTCATGACGATTAGAGAGGTGTTGTCAAGTGATTTCTCCTCTGCTGAAATGGCAGCCAAGCCTGGTATCAAGCCTATATGACCCAGTCGACCATGACATCTACGTGTTCCCCTCTGGTCATAGGTCGAATCAAACCTGTCACAGGAAAGAACGGTGCCCTGATGAAGAATGTCAAGTAGATTTAAAATGATTTCCATACGAGTATTGATCAATAACTCAACAGACTGTCAAGTAATTATCAAGTGAAATACGATCTGAAATTCTCTATATATAATGCCATTACGAACTTAAGAATTTACAAATATGTCTTTTAAACTCAAAAATATTTGATGCGTTGGGATCAAATACAAATCAAAATATGGAGTGAAATCCGGCAGAATGATAAGATAAAGAACAAATGGAAAATGTTTATCCATGTAAAATGTTTCAATTTTTCACTTCATCAGAGAATGGGATTTTTTCTGTTGTTTGATTGTCATTGGTTAATCAGGTTTCATGTGCACACGACTTGTTAAACAAACGTTAGTATAATTTGTGGCATTCCGAATTCAAGGAGAGACGACGCGTCCTTTCGAAGTTTCAAGAAATTAACGAATTCCAAGCCTAAATGAAAAACCGTAAATATTGCTTTATGTGTGGAAGTGTATAATAATTCCAATTTGTCTATGTGAAATTCAGATGATAATGTAAAATCCCAAGTGTCTGTTTGTTCGTGTGTGTTCCTTTGCCGGAGTGTATGTGTGTATGTGTGTATGTGTGTGTGTGTGTGTGTGTGTGAGTGCGTGTGTGTCTGTCTGTGTATCTGTGTGTGTGTGTGTCTGTCTGAGTTTGTGTCTGTTATTTAGACACTGTGTTTGATTGTTTGTCGATGCTGATTTGGGGATAGTTTTATGTAGATAACGTGTGTTTCTGATAAACATACGTTAGATTCTTTAAGAATGGTTTCCAGAAAGGTTGGCGATGTAATATAATATTTTTGACGTGTGCTTATAGTTGATAATATAGTTAGTAGCAATCCATCGAAGTATTCCTGACGTAAATAATTATGTTCCTTTTTAATTAATGTTTTTTTTTTAAATTTAGATCTTATTAAAAAAAAAAGGAGTGAAAATTTAAACATACTACCAACATTCTTCCTCTTTCATATGCTGAATTCTTTCTGGGCGTGGCTCTCCACAACATTCTGTCTTTTGTTGTTCTAAAAACGATCGTTCCATTACTTCTCATAGTGTGGACCTTATTATGAAGCTAATTCACTCAAACACGTAAAATCATATTGGCAGCGTAAAATGTGCAAGCTACCTAATTAACTAAAGAAGTGTGGTAATTTACTGAGCGTAACTTAGATGTGGCACAAGGCCGAAATAATAGAGAACCAAATAAGAATGGAACTCACTACACAATTGTAATTGATCTAGCAAGACAAACTCGTTAACCATTACACCACGTACAAGTACGTAGTTTAGATGTGGTACAAGGTTGAAATAATGGAGCACCAAGTAAGTATCGAACTCATTACTCAGTCGTAATTGATCTAGCAAGGCAGGCTTGTTAACCATTACACCACATCGAAGTGTTCACTAATTCAGGAAGTATGGATCCAGCAGAATTATAATATGTTAATAAAGATGCAATTTTTGAAAATTCTAATAAAGCCATTTTTAGGCATCATATAGGCGCTACATTTTTACGTATGATATTGACTTTGTGTTTACACCAGATAAAGCTAAGATATCGCATCTTCGAATACCATCTCTAGGAATTTTGTATTGGCTGTGATTTTTTCGTTCTTATTAGAAGTCTTTGACCGATATTTGATTTTAATGGAACCTCTTTTCTCAAAGAAAACACACCACTCACTTTTAATAGTCTTCGGGAATCTTTACTGCCGTCCATCAGAATGGCTGAGGCTAACCTTCAGGAGTGAAACCCATTGCAACTTCTCGGTCCAACGTCTTGCATTGATAGGAATTGGAACGATTATCTAGGGACAATTGCTAAATATTCCGTTAAGAAAGTTGGCTCATTATGTTGTGCACAACGATCTTTAACACCAGAATGTGTCTTGCCACTTTATGAGTCTACCATTTGTCGTTGAATATTGTTGCTACATACGTCTTGACAATATCCAAGGAAGAATCTGAAACATCATCAACCCTGACCTGGCATCTCGGATCCAATCATTTCACACCATCGTAACACAGCTTCCCTGTGCCATTTCTAGAAATGTTTTCATGGTAATTGTTCTGATGCGCTTTCCTCTTTGATGTCTCGAGTTTAGATATTCATTCTTAGTATTAGACTGGTATCTATAGTGCTGTTCGATAAAAGTGACTCAACTTATCCTTTGAATTTAGCTCAACTTTCGTTTCATCTGAAAAGAGAACATTCTTCCAGTTTTCTACGGTGAATAGTGAGCCCATTCAAGTCTCTTGGCTTTGTTGGCTTTGCTTATTAGCGGCTTAAACCTTCGTGTACAAGATTTGTAGCCTTGTTCTAACAGCCACTGACGGACTGTTGAAGAGGCAAGAATAACACCTCGCTCTTCGCTTAGACTGGCTGCAATTTCTTAGCTATTTATAGTCCTATTCTTCGCAACTTCTCTCTTGATTACCCTACCAGTTCTATCATCAATCTTTTTCTTTCGTCCCCTTGTTTCCTTCCTTGGAGCAAGAGTGGCATCATTATGTGCTCTAAGGACTCGAGAGACAGTTGATTGAGAGGTTATAGCAATTTCTCTCGTAGACTTGACTGCTTTTGAGAGGGCAATAATAGATGCCTTAAGTGGTTCTGATGCGTGTTTGTAACCTTTCATCTGGTTAGTGATTTGGGTGTCTATTTCAAGTTGTTTTCATACTGTATGATGCTTTCTGGAATGTTCTGGAATACTCTACATTTAATTTAAGCTGTTCTAGAATTCTCTAGAATATTGTTCTGAGTGTATTGTAAAATAGTTTTCAATATTTTGTCAAAAGCTCTTTAAATTTACCAGTTTAATCGTTAGAATGCGATATCTGAGTTACTTTTTTTTGCAAAGAGTTTTTTTCCTGAATCTCATTTATATTCAATTATAATTATCAATAGAATAACTTAGGATGAATAAACCTTTTTCCTAGGTTGTCGGAAAGGGGTCTTTATGTTAGTAAGATTAAAAATTATTTTAACTCCCAAAAAAATAGACAAAAAATATTGTTAGTAAAAAAAAAAATCAGGTGAGACACTTTTATCGAACAGCACTGTAGTTCCCATCATTTCACTGTCGAAACTTCGAGATGTAACCGCATGTTCTATTCTAGCAGTTTCTTCACTCGCTCTTCTCGACTGTGTAACTCTCTTCCGACTTCTTAGTAAAATGCACAAAAATTAAATGATGTGTCAGTTATCATTTTCTGTCTTTTGAAAAAAAATACTCATTTATTGCGCTATTTCCTCAATAACGTTTTCTTCCTTTTCTTGTATTCTCATTAACTCATTGTGTCTTAGTGACTTTATTGGCTTACTGGGGGGCTTTTAGATAAAAAAAATATACTAATAGTAGCATAGGCTGGCCTTGACATAAAGTAATTAATGCTGTATTAATGATGTGATTGGAAAGGAATCATTCAACGGAGCCAAATCGTTTCTGCTATCGCACTACACGCCTGTTGAACTATCTTCCATTGTCTTCCTTCCTCTCAATTATTAATTAATAATTTGAATGCAGCCACAGTCGTCATCATCTCTCTCTATGAATCCTCTTGTTTTATTATCCTCTCCCTCCAATAATATTTTCTCAGTTACTTTCATTCCTATTAACATTCCCTTGCATCTTAGTGGCTTCATTGTCTTGCTATGTGTGAAATGATTAGAGAAGTATTCGCCTAGTTTTGTCTCGGGTCAAACTAAGCTGAGTTTTGTAGTTAAATTGAGACTCTTTTACTTGGAATTATGATTTCGCAAAGCATCAGTCCCAACCCTAGCCATAGAGAGTGCAACCGAACACTGACCTTGTCGCTCTGTTGGCGTTGTCCGACAATTATAGGTTTTGCTCGTAGCAATCTTCTTCCAGGAATTAAGACGGGAATAAATCCATTAAAATTCAAACGGATTCTTCGACATTGTCTAAAAGAGAAAGCAGGCAAAGGCGGACTATTATTTGTGTATTTCCTTTCAGAAAGAAGACTGGTAAGATAACGGTGTGTAAATGAAACTTGACGTTGTTAAAGAACAATAAAAAAAATATATATAAATAAAACAATTAAAAATAAAATAATATGCAGTGATTTTTTGTTACCGGCTAATTAATACTATTAATCAAATACGTGAGGCCCTCTAATTAGCGTTAGATTAAAAAAAAAATTTGCTTCCTTTTCTTGACTTCGTGTTAATATCGACACCACATGCAGAACTTGGGATTTCTTTCGTATTCAGCATTTCGCCATCCATTAATTTTGAATTCAAATTTATATTACTTGTCATTTCTCTTCTATTTTTTGTTGTTGTTTTTTTCTTCTATCTGCACACCCTTTTCTCTTCTGTTTCACCGGCCACTTTCTTTATTTTCTCTTCTGTTTCTTTTTCCTTTCTTTGCTAAAAAAACACCTTTGCTTGCTAAAAACATTTCATTATTCCTCGCGTCCGACACTGTTTCTTTCAAGATATGGTAATTCCGATTTTATCGTAAAGTAGCAGAGAAGCGAATAAAAACAACACACGCTAACCAAAACCGGCTTACTTCAATTATAAAGATAAGTAAAAAACAAAACAAAACAAAACAAAAAACTACCTTTCCTGAACGTCA